AAAAAAAAAAAAGAAAAAAAGCCAGTGACTGCATGGGTTCTCAGCCAAATTCTACCAGACCTTTAAAGAACTAATATCAATGCTCCTCAAATTATTCCATAAAACAGAAAGAGATGGAATACTTCCAAATTCTTTCTATGAAGTTAGTATCATACTCATACCAAAAAAGATAAAGGATACATCAAGCAAATTATAGATCAATATACCTAAGAAACTTAGATAAAAATCCATCAAATAAATAGAAAGAAATTGCATTCAACATATTAAGAAAATTGTACAAAATGACAAATTGGTTTTATCCCCAGGGTAGCAAGGATGTTTTAACCCATGCAAATCAATAAAAGTAATTCATCACAAAAATAAAGTTAAGGCAAAAAAAATCACTTAGTTATCTCAACATACGCAGAGGTAGCCTTGGACAACATCCAGCCCCCATACATGACAAAACACTGAAAAATGTGGGGACATCATAAGGCCATGTAGAATGAACCCCACCAACGTCACAGTGAACGGAGGGACACCGGAACAGAGTCCACACTAACGTTCTTATCAACGTGGTCCCAGAAATGCCGCCAGAATAGTGAAGCAAGAGGAGGAAACCAGCAAGAGCAGGAGAGGAAGGAGCTAACCATCACTGCTTGTAAATGATGTGACCTTTCTATTTAATTTTCTTAGTTATCAATGGACCTTTATTTTATTTAGTTTTGTGTGGTGCCAAGAGTTGAACCCAGTGCCTCACACATGCGAGGCAAGCACTCTGCCACTGTGTAACAGCTCCAGCCCATGATATGATCGACCATCTGCTTGACACAAAACTTTTAACCCACATTTTGAAGATGAAGAAATGGCACTCAAATTATTTTTTTATATTTATTTTTTAGTTGTAGTTGGACACAATGCCTTTATTTTATTTATTTATTTTTATGTGATGCTGAGGATCGAACCCAGGGCCTTGTACATGCTAGGCAAGTGCTCTACCACTGAGCCACAACCCCAGCCTCGGCACTCAAATTATTGATCAGCTAGGTCTTCCCCAGTCTTGATGTGAGGGGTTTACATTCAAGGCATGGGGCTATACATACTCAATTTACACTGGAGATAGCACAAGAAAAATGTTTCCCCAAGGGAATCACGTCTGCTCAAACACAAATGAACTCATAAGTGGTGCTTCCCAGCCTGGTTGACTGAAGCCTTCTAAGATCCTAAGCCAGGAACCCATCTGAGCCATCTCTAGACTAGAATCTCAGAAACTGTAACATGAAGAACAGTGGCTATTTCTTTTGCAATAGAAACCGAATGCTGTGGGGCATGGTGGTGTACGCCTCAGCATCTCAGCGAGACCCTGTCTCTGAGTAAAATAAAAAAAGAGCTGGGGATGTGGCTCTGTGGTTAATTGTAACTGGGTTTAATCCCTGCTACCAAAAAAACTGAATACTCTGCATAAATGTCTCCAAAAAAGAGGGGCTCCTGGGTTGGCTACTGATGGCCCTTCACACCACCATACTGCCTCAACAGCTCTCTAGTCTCCACCCCAAGGGCTGGAATGTGCAAGCAGGGGGCACACCTAGTAACTAATGTCCTGCTGCTGTCTCTTCCACATCTCCCTTCCACCTTGAGAGGGCTTTTCCAGACAAGCCACAGACCCCTACCAATCATGCTCAGTCCAAAGAGTTATAAAAGAAAGAATGATCTTAGCTAATACAAAGTTTAACCCAGTAACTCTGAGTATCTCATGTGTAGAAGTGGGTAAGCTAAGAAAACACTTTGCCAGAAAGTTGAAGATGGTTCTCACGAAGCCGAACAAGTCTGTCATTGCCACCTGCCACTTGTAACAGTTACTCTGTAGATCAGTCATTGCCATCACTCTCACAGCCAGGTGACTCAGTACTCACCAAGTGCCAGGCAGTGCTCAAAGCTCTGCAGCATCCAGCAGGTGCCTCACTTCAACCCTGGAGGCAAGTCCTATTAGCACTCCCCATCCAGGTATGAAGCAAGCGCAATCAACAGAGGGAAAAGTCACTATCCCCCAATGGAAATGCACATAGGGCACATCACTGCAAACGAAGACCCCTTGATCACACAGCTCCTTAGCACACACTCATTTCTGCCATCAACAGAGGGAAACTTTCCTCCCAGACTGCTTTACACGGAGTAGGAAAGTCAGGGCATTGCTCACATCTGTTTAATCAGACTTAAGACATTAACAACATGCCTGACTCAAACATTTCTGTGCATTTGCTTGTATTAAAAACCTACTGGTTTGGGCTGGGGTTGTGGCTCAGTGGTAGAGTGCTCACCTAGCATGCATGAGGCATTGGGTTCGATCCTCAGCACCACATAAAAAAAAAATGTGTCCATCTAAAATTTAAAAAATAAAACCCTACTGGCTGACTTTGAAAGATGCGAACTTCAGAAAGAAGTTATCTTTGCCAATCAAAAATCAGATTAGTAATATTATTTACACAAATTTTAAAATAGAAAAGTAGGGGGGAAGTATGCACAATGATACTTTACAATTTATGTATTCAGGAATAAAGAAGCTAGAGTAGTATTTAGTTGGAGTATCTCAATGTGTCACATTATGGCAGGTGTACACATACATCTCCACCATGGGTTTCTGGTCAGAGAACGTGGTAATGCTGAATGCTCATGCACAAACCCTCCACCTGGAGGAGCTGCTCTGTGCAGAGGCTGGTCCTATGAACTCCAGTTACAACAACCCCAAGTTCCTGCAGATAGAGTCAAATACCTGCTGACAGGCCACATCACCACTCACATCACTACTGGCCAATGGTCCAATATTTCAACTAGCATTGTGATACTATATGCAACCTATTTGAAAATTTACATCCTTATTACATAAATCGGTTGCTTTCCCTTTACAAAAAATTCTGGTATATGAAAAAGCTGAAAGTTTTGTTCAAAGCTTTGACACAATAAAGATATTATAAAAATTTACTTCATTCTCCATGTTCTGCCTGAAAAGGTGTTCCCAATTTGTGGCATTATCGCTCTGATTTTCTGGTAAACTGAACAAGGAATAAAAGATGACAGGTTTTTGTGTGAATTTCATAACAAGGGCTGAAAACTTCTCTCAAAAGCTTGTACAGGGAATGTGCCTCAGTGGGTTGTAATGCAAACAGATCACACAAAAAATGGCTCAACAGAGGAGGATTTATTTCTCACTCCTACGAGGTATAAATGGAGGCTTGGAAAGAGAGAGGAGAAGCCATCTGATCTCTTCAGGCAACTCCTTCTCTCTTGGTCACAGTCACCTTCTCTAACAAGATTTCTCAGGGCCACTCTGCGTATCATGGGACTCAAGAACTCAGGCAGCGTCACAGGGAATGTCTGTCATCTGACCTGGAAGCAACATTGGTCCCTTGTGTCTACACCGCATGGACCCAGGCAGCTGCAGGCTCTTCCCACAGCAAGCAGAGGCAGGGGTGGGCAGGTGAGCTAGAGAACAGACGGGGCTCTCTGTAGCACACACAGCCAGTCTCCACCACGCTGAGAAGCTCCCAAGTGAGTCTTCTGATGACTGCTGAGATGTGACTTGCGGCGAAAGGCTTTCCCACACCTGCTGCACTCGTACGGCCTCTCCCCAGTGTGTGTTCTCTGATGCACGTGGAGGTAGGACTTCATGCGAAAAGCTTTCCCACACTGAGCACACACGTGGGGCTTCTCGCCAGTGTGAATCCGCAGGTGTTTGGTGAGATCCAACTTATGAAAGTAGGCTTTCCCACACTGGGCACATGTGTGGGGCTTCTCCCCGGTATGCATGCTCTGGTGCCTCCGGAGGTGGGTCTTCTGGGAAAAGGCCTTTCCACACTCACTGCATTTGAAGGGTTTCTCCCCCGTGTGAGTCCTGTGATGCATGACGAGACCCGACTTCAGGAAAAACGTCTTTCCACACTGGTCACACTCATGGGGCTTTCCTTCTGTGTGAGTCCTCTGGTGCAGAGTGAGGCCTGCCTTCTGACAGAAGGTCTTCTTGCACTGTGCACACTCGTAGGGCTTCTCTCCCGTGTGGATCCTCTGATGGATGGTAAGGGCCGACTTCCGGCAGAAGGCTTTTCCACACTGGTCACACTCGTGGGGCTTTTCTTCTGTGTGAGTCCTTTGATGTAAGCTGAGGACTGACTTCTGACAGAAGGCTTTCTTGCACACCTCACACTCATAGGGCTTCTCTCCTGTGTGAATCCTGCGATGGATGATGAGCGCCGACTTCCTTCGGAAGGCCTTCCCACATTCACAGCATTCATAGGGCCTCTCCCCAGTGTGGATCCTCTGGTGCGTAATGAGGGCTGACCGATGGCAGAAGGACTTGTCACAGCTGCTGCATGTGTAGGGCCTCTCCCCAGTGTGTGTTCTCTGGTGGTCTCTAAGAACAGATCTAACAAAGAAGGACTTCTCACATCTGCTGCACTTGTAGGGCTTCTCTCCTGTGTGCTTTTTCTGATGGTCAGCAAGGGCAGATGCTCTGGAGTAAGTCTTGCCACACAGACCACATGTGAAGGGTTTCCTCCCTGCCTGGGGAGACACACAGCTGTTCCCACACTCACTGTGCATACAGGTCCCTGCCATGCTGCCCCTCTCTGTGCTGAGGGCACTCCCTTGTCCCCCACCTTCCAGATGCTGCTGCCCAACCTGGGTCTTGTGGCTCTGACTGAGGGGTTCACTGTGTGTGAGGGCCTTCCCGGGCACCTCATAGGCACAAGGCTTCTCTGCAGCACATCTCACAACAGGCCCTCCAGGGAAAGGCATGAGTTGGTACACATCCAACTCCTGAGGTCTCATTACTGAAGAGTTCCCATTATTTACTATCAGATTTGAAATACATTTTGAACTCAAATGAAATGCCTTTCCTAATTCAAGTCTCTCCATAGCTGATATGCTGCTGTTGACAACAACTTGCCACAAGTGTCTACCGTGATTTTCTTGGCTGTTCTCAACCACATCATCAGCTATCTGCACATCTGAAATGAAAAAAATAAGAAATAAACAAACACTCCCATGAACCACACGTCAGCACCCTTTATAGAATGCTCATGTAAATGTAAAGAAGTTTCTTCCTATCACAGCAGTATAAGATTTTATAGGAGTCAATAAATACTGGCTTTATAAGTGTATGATTTTCTTTTTGATAGTGAAATGTTACATTAATTGATTTTCTAGTGCTAAATTGCTTTTCATTGATTCACTTTTTTCTTGTTTATATTGTGAAGAAATTTTTGGTAAAAATATGTCCTTAGTGGCTGGTTGCAATTTTAAACTAAGTGCTAACTATTGGCCATTTATTTTCTCAATTCCTCCCTCTATTTTATTAACAATGGTGGGTATCTCCTGCTGGCATTCATACCAGTTCTGTTTTGAAGACTGGAAAGACTTTATGGATCGGCTACCTGCAGGTGCAGGAAGGTCATTTGTCTGGAAGGAATATGGCTTAGGGATGGGAACCATATGTGTTTATTTAGTTTTCACAACTCCCGGGGAAGTGGCTAGAGGCTTTTAGGAGATTTCAAATTAAAAGAAAAACCTCCTCTTCCCCATGTTGAACCAGGATAGCTTCCTGCAAATTCCTAATTGAACCCAGTTCCCTGTTCTCCTCTGAACCAGGCCTGAGGAACTGTAACCTCGACCTGGACAACCCTCCTGGCCAGAGGTTCTAGCTCTGTACCACCTCTGCGGCCAGCAGCCCTGGAGTACCATTTCCCAGGTCCAGCACATGGCCCTGCTTGGTAATGCTCTGCTCTGTATTGTGTTGGTGTTTAGCTACCTCCCAGTGTCATAGAAAATGGAATCTCCTGTTCATTTCTCATTCTGTTATTTTAGAATGATTTCCACAAATGGAAGGCAGAAATGCTGAATTCAAGATCCATGCCCCCACAAGTCTGAGCACTGCAACACACACCGGTTCATTTGGCCCTGGGAACCAGAACCTCCTGGTCCCTTCCAAGTCCAGGACCTCCCTTATCATGCTCCTATGCCAGGTCTTCCTCGGCTTCCTGATTTCCAACATTGTGGTACATGAGATTCACTCTTGAACCTTTCTTCTCATTTTCTTATCAATTGTAAAGATGACTTACTCAATAAAAATGACTTAATTAACAGCTTTAAACCACTGATTTCTAAATCTGTATCTCTAAGTCGTCCCACTCTTGAATCTAGATTTTATATTTCCTATAGACTATATGTCAACATTGGAAAAGCAGCTACTCAAACTGCAGCTATGCCAAAGCAGACTCCTAACAACCCCTGATATCACCTTCTCTGACCCCCTTCTTGAACCATCACACGACGCTTCTCTCTCTCTCACTGATTAAATACGCCTCGTAGTTCTAATCCAACAACCTATAATATCATTCTCATTTCCCTCTCATCAGACTGTAAACTATAAGAAAAAAAGGTATCACTTTGAGCACTGTGGTATTATGTACAACTATAATATTATCAAGCTTAAAATCTGCTCAATTAAGATACGCAGAAAGTGGCAGCCATTATGAAGTCCAACAACAATAAGTGCTGGCGAGGATGCAGGGAAAAAGGTACACTCATACATTGCTGGTGGGACTGCAAATTGGAGCAGCCAATTTGGAAAGCAATATGGAGATTCCTTGGAAAGCTGGGAATGAAACCACCTTTTGACCCAGCTATTCCCCTTCTTGGACTATACCCAAAAGACCTAAGAAGAGCATACTACAGGGACACAGCCACATCAATGTTTATAGCAGCACAATTCACAATAGCTAGAATGTGGAACCAACCTAGATGCCCTTCAGTAGATGAATGGATTAAAAAATGTGGCATTTATACACAATGGAATACTACTCAGCACTAAAAAATAATAAAATCATGGCATTTGCAGGCAAATGGATGGCATTAGAGCAGATTATGCTAAGTGAAGTTAGCCAATCCCTAAAAAACAAATGCCAAATGTCTTCTCTGATATAACGGGGGTGACTCAAAATGGGATAGGGAGGAAGAGCATGAGAAGACTACCACTAAATAGGGAAGAGAGGTGGGAGGAAAAAAGAGGGAGAAGGGGAGTTGCACAGAAGATGGAAGGAGAACCTCATTGTTATACAGATTACATATATGATGTTGTAATGAGAAAAAGAAAAAAAGTGTCACATTAGATTGGATAGAGAGAAAGGATGGGAGAGGAGGGGAGAAGTAAGGAGGATAGGAAGGGCAGCAGAATAGAATAGACAATATGATTGATGTATGTACATTCCATGTATGTATTATATATCAAAATGCATTCTACTGTCATGACTAAAAAAAATAAATAAAAATTTTTAAAAAAGATACGCAGAAAGGATAAATGAACTAACATCCGAACAAAGTCCACAGCGTGGAGAAAGCAAGGCAATGAGGACACTGGAAAGGTGGGTAGCAAAAGCAGCCACAGGGAAGGTGGGCTTAAGCTAGCGCCAGTGGACGGAGAACTCAGCTACAGCCTCCCTGAGCCGACAAGGTGTGAGGGTGCAGGGCAAAGCCGACCTCTGCCCTGCTTGTTCCTCCTGGCCTCCCATGCCCAGCACACAGACTAACCTGGAAGGCACCGGTCCAGGGCTTCTTTAACCAGCCATGGCTCTGTTCCTTGCTCCAACTTGAAAATAACTTCAGGTCTGGTAATGAAAAGCCCTGTTAATGAGAAATAATGCAGAACTTTGGAGAATGACAGCAGCTCACCTAGAAGCTGGGCAATAAAGGGGCCTGCAGGAACCTTTGGCAACAGAGGGGTAATGCGTTATTCACGGACTCGAGTTTTCAACCTAAGTGGCATGAAATGTTACAAACAGTGCCTACATTTATCACCAAGGAACAAAGTGTTCCTTCTGCGAGTTACTAGGGCATTTCACTCACCCAAGAAGACCAGGCTGCTGTAGGTCTCCAGCATCACGTCCCTATAGAGTGTCCTCTGAGCATCGTCCAGGTCCTGCCACTCCTCCCAGGTGAAGTCCACAGACACATCCTCAAAAGACACCATCCCCTGTAATGAACATGTCTCCTCAGCCCAAGCCCTCCACCCTGGGCACAAAAACAAGAATCTGGACATTAACTCCTGTGTGTGTGTGTGTGTGTGTGTGTATGTGTGTGTGTCCATGTCCAAATATCTCATGTAAAATTACGAGTTTGGTTTGTACTTTACATCAAGGGAGAAAGGAAAATCAGAAAAATTCTGCCACTATAATTATTAAATTATTGTAAAGACTTTCACAAAGTTTACCTTATAGACCTAAAACCATCCTTGTTAGTGGAAATAAACATGACTAAAATCCTGCTGCTCCACGGACCATGTGATCTGGCATGAAGACGTAGTATAAACACCAGGAAGAAGGTGTCTAACGCACTAATCTGGACCCAACTTCTATACAGGCTGGGATGAGACAGGAGAAAGGAGAGCCCTGTTGTGTGCCGTAACATGCACCTCACTGGAAAAGAAGAGGTGCCATGCTCTTCAGATCATGAAGTCCCCACTCCAGTCCAGCCACAGCACCACACAACACGTGCTAGGCAAACACACCAGGACTGCGTGCACCTCAGAACTCCCCAGCTTCCACTGTGGGGCAGACCAGAGCACTCTTCTTCCTAACATGCTGGTCCCCAGAAAGCCACTCAGGCAGAGCCTGACTTGATGTGCTGTGTCAGAGCTTAAGCTTGAGTTACTTGGGTGGAGGGGATGCCCAGCTTCAGCCCATACCAGCCATCCCCAGAGGAGGAGAGAAACGCCCAAATCCAGTCCACTCTGGCCATCTGGACTCACCACAGGGGAGGAAAACTCAATAACAACAGGGAACACATATGAAACCCCCACCCAGAGGCAGAAGCTCCACAGAAGAAGGACTTACAGAACTGAGGCCCACGTCCCCTGGGGGAGGGGTCTTCCCAACACCTGCACACTGAAGCCTCACACCAATGCATCAGAACAAAACCTGGTGCCTTTGGGACATGACTGGTCCTGTGTGGAAGGAGCTCAGAAGTGGGACTACCCCCTAAACACGGGAGAAAGAAGGGAAGGGGGCTTCTTCGCACATCTCACCATGTGAGGACACAGAACAGGCCCCACTTAGGAAGGACGGACCTCACCAGACACCTGATCTTAACTTTCCAGCCACTGAAACTATGAGCAATGCATTTCTGCTTCTTACAAGGCATCCAGTACAAGATGTTTTGCTATATCAGGCGAATAAACTAAGACCGCTTCCAGCACGCCTATGTTTTCCAGTTCATTTACCCAGCACATCATGTGTGCCTAAGAAGAAGGAAAACCACACTGCAGAGCAAAGGTGAAACTACAACATGAGGTGAAAGAACAGGCATCAGACAGATATGGCCAATACGTTGGAGTTCTCAAACAAGCAATATCAAACCGAGTAATATGCTAAAACAGTACTCAAAAAAATAAAAACATAGCCAGACACAGTGGTGCATGCCTGTGATCCCTGTAGCCCAGGAGGCTGAGGCAGGAGGGTCACAAGGTCAAAGCAAGCATCAGCAACTCAGACCCTGAGCAACTCAGTGAAACCCTGTCTCTAAATAAAACAACCGGGCTGGGGTTGTGGCTCAGAGGTAGAGCACTTGTCTAGCATGTGTGTGGCCCTGGGTTCAATCCTCAGCACCACATAAAAATAAATAGCAAAATAAACGTATTGTGTTTAACTACAACTAAAAAATAAATATTAAAATAAAACAACAAAAAAATGGGCTGGGGATGTGGCTCAGTGGTTCAATTCCTAGCAACAAAATTGAAAAAAATGAAAAAAAAAGTTATGAATAAAGCCAGTAAGAAGAAATCTGCCTATAGAAGAACAAAGATGAAAAGGACACCCAACCTCTCCACAAAAGTCACACAAATGAGAGGGGACACCTGAGAGAATTTTCTGCCTTGTGGGGACAAGGGCATGGAGTACTGCACACATGGCATGTTAAGGGCACCTGAGTGGCAAACCACTCCCCCATGCTAGGCATGTGAGCGGCAAACCACCTACCCTGTAAGCACAGCCCTAGGCATGAGGCCATGTGTTGCAGTCACTGCACTTGCTCCATAGCCCACTCCTCAATTGGTGGCTGCAAGGACAGTTAGCAGACATTACATTGGTGGCTGCCTGTAATCTACTTAGCTACTGCCTGAGTATATATATATGGTAACTGCACACTAAAATCAGACCTGCTTCCTGCTTGGTCTCGGAGGACTTGATTAGCGACTCCGTAGTCACATTCTCCTCTACCCCGTTATGTGGGACCTCCTCGCTGGATGAGAGAGCCCACACAGCAGGCCCCCGAGCAGGGACCTGAGGTAAGCCTATAAGACAGGGTGTGGCCCCTCACAGAACAGTGAAGAAGGGAAAATGGGGAACCTACTGAGTTCCACCACAGACTCACAGCTGCAAGTGCTGCACACTCTCTTAGATACTAGAGGTTTAACCCTGAAGAAGAGAGAAGCCCAGAAGTTCTGAGATGTAATAATAATATTAAACACTAACCCACGGATCAATACTGCTGATGATTGTGATCCTAGGATATGGGACAAGATAATGTCAAATGAGCAGCAAGCTGAAATGAGACAGGGGTATAATTTATCACTACATTTTTTCCTATTGTGACAGCCATTCAGCAAAGTTTGGGGGGCCCTGCAATGGACCCTTGTCATATAATGATGGCCCTGAGAGAAGATGAGGCTGTGAAAGACAGACGGGAGAAAAGGGTGGGGGAGAATTCTACCTCAAAAGCAACCGCAGCAGGTGTAGGAGGGAAAAAGGCAGGAAATGATACCTCTAGCCTTCATGTGCAGGAAGAGGTGACCACAAGTGGTGCAGATGAGCCTTCTACTGACAGGCAAAGGTGATATCCTTCCCTGAGTCAATGGCAACTGCCTCCTTATGAGGCAATGCCAAAGCCAGCAAAGGACTATGACAGTTTGGAAATGACCAGGCCACTGGACAGGCCCACACCATGGACTCCCAGAAACCCATTCCAGGAGGCAGAGATCCTTTTGAAGGTCTATGTAGGATAAGAGATTAGAAGTGGGGTGAGGGAGTACAAGCCTTCCCAGTCAACATGGTCCCCACACCAGAGCACCTTGCAGAGCAAACGCTTGAATCCCTCAGTCTTGAACTAAATTGCCCTCAGGACTGGAGAGACCTAGCCAGAGCAGCTCTTGAGCCTGCAACATTTTTGAAGTGGAAGGCATTCTCCTGTGATGAATGTAAACAGCAGGGGGATCCTAACCACACCACAAATGTTAGCCTCCCAGCTGAGGGCTTCCAGGGAGAAAGAATCTACAGTTCCCCTGCGGTACAAACCACAGGCCCACCAAATTATTTCCATCAGGTGCGGCTCTGTACTCTGAGAGCCTGGAGGAAGCTGCCAGCTCGGGGAGGGACAGTTTCCATACAGGGCTTAAGGCAGAAGGCCACTGAGGACTTGCCACAGTTTACTGAGAGGGTAAACAAGGCGAAAGAAGGGAAGGTGTCTCATGAAGGAGCCAGGGTGGCTTTAGCCAGGGAGTTGATCTGGGATGGACTAAATAAGGAACACAGAGCAGCAGTGGCGCCAGTTTGAAATGGCACACTGGATGAGTGGATTTTGGCCCCCCAGGATATAGGGACACAAGCAATTCAAGCCTCTCTGCAGCCCTCAGTGATGGCAGCTGCATAAAAGCAGGACTAAGGAGGCTTGCAGAAAGCTAGTCAGAGACTGCAAAATGTGCACCTTTTCTCCCCACTGGCCCTGCACAACCTGCTGGAGTAAATCCCCAAGTTAAAATCTAATGCTTTATGGCAAATGGATGTCACTCATTATTATGATCCCCTACAACCCTTAGACTCAAGGCATAATAGAAAAAGCATACAAGGAATCAAAGACCATGCTACAAAACAGGAGGGAAACTATACCAAGTCCCCTCTTGATGCCTTGAACAAAAACTTATTTGCTTTTATTTTTCTTTCAATGTCAAAATCTTCTATGGAAACAGCAGCCCATAAGCATTGGGTCCCCCTCTTGGGGCCCTCCCATCTCCCTATAATCTCATGGAAGGATCCCATAACAAATGTATGGGATGGTCCGAGGCCCTTCCTAACCACGGGTTGGGGGTTTGCGTAGGTTAAGAGGAGCCTCACCCCATCTGAATGCCTGCCAGAAAGTCAAGCCCTGGACCCCCAGAACCACCAACCAATAAGATGAAGGAACCAACTCTCGAGGAGAAACCTCACAAGCAAAGGATTCAACAACACAAACAGACCTCATGTAGAGAAACCTGGGGTGATAAAGGTCTTTTTGAATAAGCCACCAGATTGGCCCCTTTGCCTGGTGGCAATCCCATCCCTGGGCCTATGACGATGGTCCTAGTGTGTGCAATACTCACTGCTAATAGTGAAGCCTCCCATGAAGTAAACTGAGCTTTGGTCACTAGGCCATCACTTTTAGCAGTTGCTAATTGGGAAGGGGCTTTACCTAAGCGCTTTTCCAATAAGTCCAACCTTACTGATCCTGAGTTATCCATCAGGTAACTGTACCTGAAATACCAGCATTTCCATACCTACCCTGCCCATTTATTTCTCCATAGTTGATAATAATGAGACCTATAATCAGGACAATCCCCTCTGTTTTGCTCTTGCCAGAGAAACTATTGTAGAGAACTATAATAAGTCATGTGTTGGGCTGTCTCTCGCTGGCCTTAGAAGTATAGTTAATGCTACCTGTAGCCATAGACTTTCCCATGACAAATGCAAGAAACCCTTGCTGCCAACATGCCCAATAACGCTTTTGGAAAGCTCCCCTCAGATAATGGTAGCATCCCATGGAATAATGTGTCACTGCCATAGCTTATCTCCTTGATAAGAAGAATTTCTCTGGGGAAGAACAATATCTATGCACCTGGGCAGGCGCAGCTCCCTGGAATGTAACTGATATGCCCCCAAACCATACAGGCCACTGCAGTAACTGCTCACAGGACAAGCCATTACCAACCAGTAGGCAGGAAATCAGTATGGCATGAGGGACATCACGCCAATATTGCTAACTGCAACAGCCAGGTGGATTAATGGGTCTATACTGAGTCCAGACCTTGACCATGGATTTGCCTTTGTGACAAATGATACCCATACCCACTATGCACAAGCTTGTGTATGCCACCTTTTGCCATGCTAATAATCAATGATGGCATAAATATCACTCATACAGAGATCCCTTGTGCAGTCAATACATCCTGCTGGCTCACAAATTGTCTAACCCCTGCTGTGAAAGCTAAACCTATATTTTTCTTCAGAGTGCCCCCAGCAATCTGGCTTCCAATGACCCTGTCCAGAGTGGAGGAGTCCATGGTACATGGAGATGAAGAATCTTCTAAATGAGATCCTGTAACAGACAAGGTGTGCAATTAGCCTCATCATCTCTGGGATCATTGCCCTGGTGACCACCAACGCCGCCACAGCCACTGTCACTGCTTCATTCACTTGGAGTATCCAGACTGCTCAGACTGTGAACAATGTGTTCACTGCCGTGGCAGAAGCCTTTGCCATTCAAAGTGACTTAAGTAAACTCTTCCAAGCTGCTATTTTAGTCATCAGCAAGAACTAGACCTCACCAGGAACAACTAGATATTCTGTTTTGTTGCAGAGGCTCACTTTTGACCCTGAGTTTCATAGTATGTGTCACTCAATATGCTGTATCTGAAAATGTAACCTCACACTTCTCCAGCTTTTCTCTGCATATTAAGGGCACTTGGGATGCTAACTGTTAGGACTATGCAAAACCTTACTAAGGCAATTGTCAAAATCAATGAGACGAAGGTGTCTATCTTGACAACCTCTTCTTTCTTCCAGGGACTGACTGAGCACTGGAAAAACCTGATAGCCAAATTAACTAATCCTTATAATACTATTACCCTGGCCCTACTGTTTATCATAGTGATAATTTTTTCTTGTGTTGTGAGATGCTTATGTAACCATGTAAAGGCCACCAGATGAAAAACAGCAATGCTGGCTGAGGTCCTTGCAGCATAGTTAGAGGGGGGAGATGTGGGGACAAGTGCCTGGGGTACTGCATTCATGGCATACTTTAAGGTGGCACAGGCCTCTCCCCTCGTGCTAGGTATGTGAGCAGCAGGCTGCTTACCCCACAGGCACAGCCCTGGGCGTGGGGTCATGTGTTGCAGTCCCTGGGCTTGCTCCACCGCCCACTCCTCAATTGGTCGCTGAAAGTACAGTTAGCAGACATTGCACTGGTGGCTTCCTGTAATCTGCTTAGCTACTGCGCACTAAAATCAGACCTGCTTCCTGCTTGGTCTCTGGAGGTCTTGATTAGTGACTCTGCAGCCACACTCTCCTCTACCCTGTTCCATGGACCTCCTCGCTGGACGAGAGAGAGCCCACACACTGCCCACCTTGCAAGAAATGTTAAAATTAATTCTTTAAAAGAAGAAAAAGACTCCTGCTATTCTTCCTTGATCTGAACAAAGGGTTTGTATATGATGACATATACAACTGTGC